TCCAACTGTTTATTTTCGACGAAAATACGTCAAAATTTTTGTTTTTTTTAATTAATGATTCTAATTAAACGAAAATATATTGGGTATTGAAAGCAGGCCTAAGTAACAATTCCACTTTTTCCACGTTTTAATCATCAGTCAGCTCCAGAATTTGCCCTGTCGATTATCTTGATTCTGTAGGTAATGATTAAATAAAAAAGGTGTTTTAACCATTTTAATTTGCAAAATCTTCTAAAAAGTGCTTAATAATGTCGGGTAGAATTTTTACAAAACCCACGTCATTAAAGATTTAAATCGATTCGTTTTGAATTTTTTAAAATTTTTAATCGAAATGTATAATTTTCGACCGTTTTGTCCACGGTTCACTTCAAATGCCCGCAAAATGGGGTGTGAACAAATAGCAAAATCCACAATTTAAGTTCAGTCAGGGATTTGTAGCATATGGCGTGCTGATGTGATCTAATAAGAACGAAATCGTTGTCCGCGTCTGGCGATTTCAATAAATTACTGACAAAGAACTTACATTGTTCATACATGCTACCTTGTTGAGGTAACATCAGCGCTTATATCTAACATTATATTAGCCTTGGCCTACATAAAAGTAGAATTATGAAAAATATATTTTAATGAACTTTCACCATTGTATCTTTTTATTTGGTATTTTCAAGGGTAAGATAAGATATGTAAGTGTTACTATTTCCAAAAACTAATGTCTGGTAGATTTCCGAGAAAAACAAATACAAATGAAAAATTAACACTGTTTGATCGGACTTTCTATTGTTTCCTTTTTTAACACTATTCAATTTCGATAGCAAAATTATGCACGAGTACAAAAAAAGAACTAAGAGTAACAGAATTACGTAATATTATTTTTGATGGAAAAAACCGAAAATCTTCAAATATTTAACAGTTCTCCTGTATAAAAAAAAAAATTGTTTTTTAAGTTTATTTATATCACGTATTACGGTTACATGAAAGATGTTTTTTCATCCAATTCAGTGCTTGCGTCTGATTTCTGTATCAAAAGACCGCGATAACCTTTATATAAAATATTGATAAGGACAGATTTTCTAATTCAAATTTCCACTCTATTTAGAAATTTATACCATTGATTCAATGGTACAGCCTTCACTAATTTTCTATTCGTTATCATTTAAACGTTAGTTGGTAAACAAAGTTTATCCTTTTATACTTATATGTATGTCAGACGTAGAATCATGAGCGCTTTGCTTTAAAAGAATGCATAACATATACGTATATAATTAATATAATATGTAATTTTTAATTAGTTGATCAGATGCAATCCATCAGCGTTGTTGCCTGAAGAGGTCAACAATAATCCGTTCACGAAACGTCGCAAAAAAAATGCGATATTCATTTTGATTATGCTCCTTATTGAGACCATAATAAATAATCAATATACAATGGATTTCATTTATCACGACCTTGGCTATAGCAATCATTTTGCTATTGGGATCCGTCAAATGGGCATACACCATCTGGTGGCAAAATTTATAACTCGAATGAGGGAAAAATTTACATAGGAACTGTGCGCGCAAATTGTAAAATTGTTTATTAAAATAATAAAACACGTTAAAAAAGTAAAATGATGGAGTCGACGAAGTTTTCTTCTAAAGTTAAATCAAATAAAAAGTTAATATGTTCAGTGAAAAGCTGCAATAGCACTTCAGACATAGATATTCACTCTTCACCTACATTAACTAATTTCTTTAAAAAATATATTCGGAAAATTAGAGAAAAAAGTAAACTAATAAAAGCTTGGATGAAAGCAGTAGGTATCAAAGAAGTGAATTCCGGAATAAAAATTTGTTCACGTCATTTTAATGCACATGATTATATTTCAGCAAGTATTTACCATCAGCCGTAACCTTTAATATTTAAAACCAGAATCATACTAAAAAGTCCGGGATGGTATATGTCTATCTCTTAGGGATAACCCACAATAACCATTTTTTATACTTTACTTTTTACGAGAAATAATGTCTTGTTTACGAAACGATTTTAAGCAATACAGCATTAATCCTTATCCAATTAAGTACTTTTAAATACATTGTGCATTTAATATAGAATATGGCCCTTTACAGCATGTAATTTAAATGAATATTTTCGAAGATATTACAGACTTAAAATGCAGGCACATAGTAATTGCGGCGGTACCGGCCGGTTTGTATTGTATTGATAAAAAAGCTGTGATTGTTGTATATAAGGACATTCTATAGTATATTTACTATCAGCATTGCACCGGTGCGAAGCATAGTGTACAGATAATACCATTAAACGAATTCCTTAACCGCTATCCCGGTATGTTTATGTGTTTGAAGAAGCTTCACTTCAGTAGCGTATTGTATAATTACACGTTGTATTTTTTTAATCAACTTTAATTAAGGTGTGATAGAGTTCTTTGAATGCTCTTTCTGAATACAAAAATGTAGTTTCAATAAGTTATTATTTGTTTTAACAATATGACAAAAAAATAATTGAAACAAAAAAATGCCTTTTTTAAACACCAAAGTATCTTTTCCTAATACCAATTTACCATTATTGTAAACTGTCGGTCATTGGAATATGTCATCTTAAGTAACCATTTACTTTTTTTTTTGCAATAAAAAAACACGTTGCTTAGACAACTCACCATACTCACTTACGGCTCAGAATAGCCTATTACTAGACTCCCCCCTCCCCGTTACAGAGCCATATATCTTATGAACAGCCCTTAATAAGCGTGTTAAAATTTTCAGTACAGTTGACCCACCTAACGAAAACAGAAGTTTTTTCGAAACCATAAAAAAACAATAGACGCTATATTTATTTATATCTTTAGGTAGCAATATATACCTTGTAAATAATAATATGTATTACATCAAGGAATCTTGTTTTTATTGTTTTCGTTTTAAAGTTCTTAACAAAAAAATCAAAAATTCTTCAAAGCATTATTGTTAATATCGAAAAATCTTAGGAAATTAAGTGTCATGCTCAACGTATCAAGAAAATACCTTAACTAAATCCAATAAGTAAAGTACTTACATACTTATCAAAAATGACTTGCCCGGATAACGTTACCATACATCCACCAGTGATAAAAGTTTTTATCAATAGGAAATTCTGAATTTGTTACTACGCATCTTTTATTTTTTCTAAGTATACTCGGGCTTATCTCTACCACAAAGGGAATATTTATCACATCGTGTTATCAGCACATCTCTCTATATCTTACTTCCATTTTTCTAGTGCAAGTTACTAGTACAAGTCTTTTCAGAGCATATTTTAATTATGAAATTAATTTGTTTCAAGTTATACTTCTGCAACTACGACAATATAAAATTTTACTTATTTAGATAATAAAAACAGTCCACTTCACGTCCAAAACACTTTTCTAGAATTTTCCGGGGTCGGTTTTCAGTAGACGATGTATAATAACAGTAGATTCCTTTTATTTATACATATAAGCATCCACTACGAAAAGATGTTTTAAATTTCCTTCTTAAAGGTGTAAAAAGGTTGTAAAACTACTGTATTGAAATTCGAAACGTGGAAATTCGTATTTAGACCACAATTAAATGAAATATTTTAAATACAATTGTATTTAAGATACTGCGCAAGATATAAATTTTTTATCTTAATTTATTTATTTCTTTTAAGGAGAGTGCAGGTATAGACTCAGAATCATAACAAATGTAGTAAATACCTACACTCAGGGGCGCAACAACGTTACAGTTTGACTATGTGCTCCCATCATAATACTACAAATACTGCGGGTGTGTATAAACTGAAAAGATCGAGTTCGGCTGCTCATTTACGAGCTTGAACTAATTGAACCAAACTTTCATGTTGAGTTATCTGAATCGACTGGGTGCCCAACCCAATCGAGTGGGTGCTCAGCCACCCGTGGACCCCCCTTGTTGCGCCCCTGCCTACACTGTACATCGCCATACTCATCCATGGGTTGATTACAGATTTTTTTTAATTATTATCATCACATTTAAGTCTTGCAATTTGTTAGAAATAACCAAGTACCTTTCTAATCATAATCAGTATAAATATGTTTCTGTTTCATGTTGAACTAATTCTAATTAGGCAGGCTAAAACTAAATTACGCATTTGTTTTGTTTCCAAAATGGCGACCAAGTCCTTTTTAAGGCGCCTACAGCTTTTTTATATAATGAACGTGTTCAAATTGCAATCGCATTAAAAAAAATAATTTAAGTGTAAAGTATGCCCAACGATAACAAGTTCATTAATTAAACAAAATGATATAGGAATATACATGCAGGTACATCATACGCATCACTTACCTATGGCAGAACGAAGACATCTCTGTTATTACGGATTTATTACACTACACACTAAAATAACAAAAAACAAACAAGACGCACGCTTTATTGTTATTTAAATTTATCAAACCGATATTAACTACCGTTAATTAACATCTCACCGTTAACGTTCCAACTAACGCGCCACATATTCCACGCCGATGTGAAAACGCCATTGTCCAACATGAAGCAATTTTCCTATAAATAATAACCAATCAGGAGAATGATTTTTTATGCCAATTTGGGGTACATTCCAACACTTTTCTATTGATATACTATTAGTCTAATATTTCATTATTTTACGCTTATAAAATAGAACAATTGTCTTTTTTAAGATTGTTTATAGTTAACACCTTAAATAAGTTCAATTATTGTAATACATAAAAAATTTGCCAAATTAAATTTCAATGTTATAATTTCCAGTTGCTGAGTATTATAACGGTAAATGAAAGTACCTTTCTAAACAGCAAACAATGTAAACAATAATATAACCTATTTGAAGGATTATGAAAAATAAAATTTTAAAAAGTAGACATTTATTATTTATTTACACATAGTACATTTTTTAAAATAACAGATAAAAACAATAAGTAATTACAAAAATAAAGATTCACACTAGAGCAGTAAACCAATAATACTTTAACCTCCAACTATTTGCTTTTATTTTTAAACGAATTATTCAAAGGGGAATGTATAAAATGCCCAACTTTGAGTACTGTTAATACTTAAGAAATGAGTTTTTTAGAGAAACGTACTTTATTACCGCGTATGTATTAATAACACCATCTATTAATCCTTTTAAATACCTATAACCTCACTTTAAAATTTTCTAAGCTTAAGCAACGACAGGAAACACACATTAAGCTAGTTTTTCGCAAACACACGTTCGGAAATAATCTTTGGACGAAATTTTCATATTTATAAATGCAGTCTTGTAAGTGCCAGAATTTCTAGCTTGTAAGTACGACCTGATTTGAAAATTTATCCAATTATTTGTTTATCAATTCACCAAGGTATCATAAAAATCTATTTTAGGAGAAGGATATGTATTTTACGTTTATATATCCTTGCTAGAACAAACGATGTGATGGATGTTCTTTAATTTGATATAACACGTACCTACATAAAAAACAGGGACTTTTATCAACTGAGAACCAAGTATTTACTTTTAGTAGACAATAATTTAATCGAAAGTACTCTAATAATTGCAAGATGTGTAAAACAACGTTCAATTAGCAATCAAGTTCAGAATAATGTTGAATCTTTTGTAGCTTCTATTGTAGATCCCAAAGTCAAGTCAAGACAATTTTAATGAAGCCTTGCAATTATGTAAGTTTGTAAAAATTAACTTGGATAGATTTGAACCCAAAAGTGTCACACATTAATATATGAAAATACAGTTTATATTAAATACAATGAATAGTGATTCGATTGGACCCTGCCTGTGAAAAAGTACTAGAAAGGAACTAAATATGTCAAGTTAACTTTTTACCATTTTACTGTGAAAAGGCACAGTTTAAATATAATTTATTTGAAAATAATCAAAAATTATTAATGAAGTAATTGTGAATCTAACCACACTCAATTCTGTTTTCATACGTTATGAAAATTAACAAAAATACTATAAACCACAGCAAGATTAATTTTTGAGTCACTATTACTACTATTTAAAACTACTATTTATTGACTTTTGGCAAAATAGATTTAAAGGTGTGCAAATTGCATCAACCATCAAGAAAGTAATAACCACAGTTATGACATAAATTTATGAAGTAAAAATAATAAAGGAAAGAAGAAAAAATACTATATTACAGTATAGTATTTGCACTCTTGATAAAGCCATCACATGACTAAACAATAGTAAAATTTCTTATTAAACTTTCTGTTTTAATATTATTGAAATGTGTTAATACAAAACTAATCGATTTTTCTTATAATTTGTTTTTTAATTCCTATTAAATCAAAATAAAATAAAAACAGAATTGTGTGCAATTATGATAAACATAAACACTTAAGAATTGAGAAGTAATACTATTTTGATATTTTCAAATTATAATATCAAATTTGGAAAAATTTGTAGCAAGTGTTTTAAGTTTTTCTGGCAATTTGTAAGTAATTTTCAGTTTAGGTTTCCTCAGATAAAAGTGCAAATATTTGAATTTAAATGAGAAATAAAAATAAATATGCCCTTTAAATTTCTTTATCGAAAAAAAACACTTTCAATAAATGTTTTTTTTTTTTGATATTAAATCTATTATATAGGCACTTTTGTTGCATACAGACGAACATTATAAAAAACCTCAAAATTAGGCTGAATAAACCATTTTAATAATTGTAAGTAAGTATATAAAATCTTAAGAAAACGATGAAAACGTGGAGCCTCTTTTAAATATAGAAAATTCTATTTCTTTTTTATAAAAATACTGCTCTGATATTTCTATTTGTAATTTTTAGAACTGCTCTAGACAACAAATAGTGTCTTTCACCTGGTTAATATTACGATTAGAATTATCACAAAAAATGACTGTTATGTTAGAAAGAGCGAAGTATGTACGACAAAATATTAAAACGAAATAATGTCACTGTTCTGCAATACTAATGCTATCATAATGATCTATTCTTGAGGTCGATGGTGACAAAAGAGGTGTTGTGACTGCTGGATGTGCTGTTTCAACCATATAATTTAATCTTTTTGTGTGTCGTATCACGCCTGCAAATTTGTATAATGCGTATCTTGTAAAATAATCACCTATCTATTTTTTAATAAAATATTTAAGCCAAATAAACGTGCGGAAAATAAGCTAATAACATGACAATGCGTATAAATAAAATAACAATCTACGGCTTACAAGCCGATAAACAGAATACAAAGTAACGATTGATAAAAAATTAATAAGTATGATATGTTAAACAATTTGCGATTTTAGAAAATGATTATCGTTTTATGATATGAAAGAGAAAGTAGCCAAATAAAATCTGGAAATTCCTAGAGTATGATAACTATTAATTTAAAATACTGAAAATACTTAAAATAAAGATAATTATAATCCAAATTACAAGCACCAACGAAGTGATTCAACAGCATTACGTTTTTTCATGCAAATAATATTTACAAGAACACTGAAATTGGGTTTTTAAGCAACGACAATTTTTCAATTATTTTGGTAAATTTGATTAGAGAATGCTTTGCAATTTCAAAATAATTTCTTACGGATATAAAACATAAAAATGTATGCTTACACACACTGTATCAATAATCAATAAAAAAGAAACTGGAAATTTATCAAGTTATATACATAAAAGTATATAGGATGTCCCATCCCAGCGAATGTTTAAATGACATATGTATTTACTGGGTCTGTACTTTACAATCATTTTTGAAAAGAGCCAACCCTTGTTATACGTCTTGTAATTTTAAGTTGAATACTCTGCATATTTTTTCAAAGACCACTTTATTAAGCATACCTATTGAAATAACGTGAGCTATAGAGTGCAATTGAAAATTAACGAAATCGAGCAAGATAAACAGTTCCTGTTTTGATTACTGCATTTAGGAATTAGTGTATTATTCTGATTGGATTTGATGGGATATCCTTCATCAATTCGCACTGAACTATAAAATTCTCATTGAAATCTGGATTAAATATTTAATGAAAACAAGCACATCAATTTTCTTTAGTACCTATGTTTCTGGTGCATTAACTTATTTCCAAAATAAAATGTCTTGTTAATTAACGCGTTAATATATGAACAAAACGTGCGATTTGTTTCACTTTAAAACCAGAAACATATTAATACCAAGCGATTGAAACATCTATATAGACAGCGAGAAGAAAAAAGAATTTTAAAAAATGCTTACTTTGTTCAGAGACGTTTCCTGGATATGCGCCTCGTTTAAATTCCGATTATGCTTGGCCAATTTCTCTTTATTCATTGGGGAACCTGGATACACAATATGACATGCGGTGAAATATTCGTCAAAGATCAAACCCAACAAAACACAGCACACAGTAATGGTTAGTAAATGAACACGACAGAAAGGATTAATGAAGCTCAGTGGATGACGCCATTCACTACTTTTCTTTAAATATAATTAATTACAGCTACTAAAATCGACATTGAAAATGTTCTACAAATACAATAAAAACATTCACAAAAAAGTAATTTAAAATGTGTTAAAACTAATAGGATATATTAATAAAACGAAAACAATTTTTGATAATGAATATAAAAAATTAATGAACCGCGGAAATCACGTTTCCTGAAAGCCCCTCCTACCCCAATTTTGAATTAAAAAGAGATTTAAATATCTATTGCAATATAATACTTAAAATAATAGTAACGTTTAACTTGATTAAGATACAAATTCTTCAGCAAATTAATTTTATTGTAAAGGTAATATTCAATTATTTTGTATCAAAGATGTACAGTAAGTTTTACATGCAGGACAGGAACAGATAAATAGATGTGATTTTAAAAAAGCAACAACAAAGTACAAATCCCACATGCCACAGCTACAAAAAACAATACCGACATTGTCAGTCCCAATATTTCCTTGCACTCACCTATATAACTCAGAAGCACAGGAAGGAAGATAAGTCCATGGGCTGCACCCAAAACTACGATTCCCAGGTACATTCGAAAGTAGAACACCTGGAAAGAAAAAAACAATGTATTCGCATTTATAATTTCTTATAACACCCCCAAAAATTACTATATTTCATCATCCTTGGTTTAGAAGATTGAAAAACCGTGTAATGTTGAGATTTATAGCATTAAACACATACAGATTTTTGTTTATAATGCACATGTGTACACATATGTTATAATAAACAAATCTTACCTGAAAGATCTGAGACTTGGCGAATCCCAATACAATGATTCCTCCGAATTTAGTAAGTGTGATGCCCGAAAACACAGAACTGCCCATTCGCGCAAGCGCATCGGACGCTCTCTCGACGCGCGTGTGGTACATGGACATCGAGAAGCTGTGCACTAGATGCGAACAAAATTCGACCGCTATACCGACAGCCATGACCAAGTTTACCAAGGAAACTGCATTCAACGTAATATGCCACCAATACATGAAACCACCGAGATTAACTACGATCATTGTAATGGTTATGACAACAACCAGTGAAGAGAATATGTCAAAGCCCATGAGGAGGAACGTAACCACAAATATTGCGGCTAAACTAATGCCTACACTGTATAACGTGTCCGCCCACATCGTCAAGTACTGTTCATAAAATACGTAGAAGACTGAGTAGGGGAAGACCTAGAAGGAGTAAAAACTTAATTATTAAAAGTGCATTAACATTTGCTCTTGTACAGTACAGATTCCTATTTTAGAAATGAAGTTAGTTAATAAAAAATGAACTTACTTCTATTGTGCCATTGGCGCTGATATTATCAGATTTAATCCGTCGGTTAATGGTGTCTGTTATATTCTGGGAAATTTTTCGAGCAGCGCGCATACTTTCATAGTAGTCTTTCGATGTTTTCAAGATGGTATGGTAGGTCATGAAATAAGACGCACCGACCGTTGAAGACTGCGTCGATTGATTGATCCAATAGTTCACGCCCTGTCCGTAAGCTGCATGACCTGCTTTTGCACATGATTCGTCGGGATTATCACGAAGAAAGAAGGATATATAATGGTCGAAACCCGTGGAATTTGGTCGATTATAAGGCGGGCCTATTTCGATATTACACGGTTTACATACTCCCCCTGTAATGAGTAAAAATATGTTTAGTTCAAACTATTATATATAAGGCTTACAGAAGAGACAAGGAAAGCGACTGCTACTCTACCTGCGTTATGAGGACAAAATCCTCCATCTGTGGTATTGTATTTGCAGCAGGACTTTATACTCGACCAGTCAAAATAGTCGTCAATCCAACTGGAACTCGGTCTTGCGATGTAAGAACTGTTTGCCATTTTAGATGCAACGTAAACTTGCATCGTAAGAGAATCAGGATTGCAAAATTGACCGCTACAAATAAGATTCTGTGTCTTTCCATTACTATAATTTAATCCATTCTTAACCACGAAGTACATTGGCGGCCCTATACTTAAGTAGTCTTTCAGAAATTTAAAATATTTCAACACAAAACTGTCCTCAGGCATCGATAATTCTTGATCTAAGCCAATTTCTACATGAGGCAATACTGCTATAGATGAGCACAACCACCCAAAGAATACGATCATCACCATAGCACGCACAAACCGGTTCATCAATATGGGTACGTATATTGATTTAAAGAAACTAAATAAAAGTCCGTCTGCAGCAATTTCATTCCCTATCGAGTCCTTTTTCGATCCGCGTAAAAAGAAGAAAATATCGAAACGGTTTTGACTTTGGCGAATAGTATCCAATGCAAGAAGACTAACGAAACATGTTATTTGGAGAAGGAAGTCGATAAACAAAGCCATGCCCGCATATAAAGCAAAGGCACGGACCGCTGGCATGTCAGATAAACCGCCTAGGAAGAAACAACAGCTCTCCGAAACGCTGGTAAGCAAAATCGAAGGCCCTACTTGTCCCAAAACACGACCGATATGTTCGGGGATGGTTTCGTTCATTTTTCTAGCTTCACGTTGATGTGTTTGGACCAAAATAAAAATGTTGTCTACTCCAACAGCCAGGACCAAGAAAGGTATGACTTCGATAATAATGAGGGTGGCAGGAATACCGACAAATCCAAACAATCCCACAGACGATATTACAGAAGCAAGAACTATGAAGACGCCACCAAGTCCCAAGGTTACTTTACTATCAATTAGTAACCGATTACAAGTACGAACTTGTCCTAACGAGACGGCGATATAGGCAAACATGATGACGTATGATACAAGGATAGTGTAGACATCCGACTGACTCTCGCGGTCCAATTCATCTTCTATAGAACGTTCAGATGTGAAAGCTATATCCATCCATTCAGGCTTTTCTTTTTCTATCCACTCTTTCATAAATTCGACGTATTTCTTCTCCCATTCCATAGCTGGTTTGAGTTTCGTCTTGTTATGGTGATTGTTCACAAGGAAGGTGAGAATTATAGCAGTGGCGTTTTCATAATGGGAAGTTTTAGTTAAAGCTTCACCCTTTTTCAAGAAACCACCGACAGCTATAGCCGGATCAACAGGACCCCCATATGGGGCCAGACAAATTGGATTATACGCGTTCCTGTAAAAATAAAATTTTATTTGCACACATATACCAAATGAATTGGCCGTTTAATACTTTTTTTAATTACAATATCCACTTTACTTCGGAAATTATATGCTGTAGAAAATTATTTTTTAATACATCTGATACACCTTTTTATACAATTTTTAAGCAGTATTATTTTATATCTAAAATATTTTTGTCAGTTTTAACTTTCAATACGTAAGTACGCGAGAATATCATAGATGAAAACTCAAACTTACTGGGAACAAGCCAAAAAATGATCCAAATAATTGAGAGTGAAGTTCTGAGGATCGGTGTCTGTTTGTTCAAACGTGTCCACATCATCTTGGTAATAGCCCCATATGCTTTGAACGACACATTCTGATACTTTCGTATTTTTCGGTGTAGCACTTCTTAACGGTGCGTAACATATCTTGTCGTAAGAAAACTCTGTGCCCTGACCGATCAGTTTTATCTTCTCTTGTAATTCCAAAACAGTTTTAAGAAAATTTTCATCAAATACAGGACCAAACGTCACGTTTCCATTGGCAGTTTCATGGACAATTGGTGGCAAACCAATTGCAGTGATAATTACTTGTTCGTTACGGTAGAAAGGTTCGAAATGTTTATCGTAGTATTCTTTTTCAATACGACTACGAGAATCGGGTGCCGCCCAGAGTTCAACCGGGTCAGTAGTGACGTGTAAATACTTGATACCGTGACCCAAACCGATGATCACACACGCGCCGAAAAGTAACACCCTCCAAGGGTGCGTAGCGCATTTTGTGCCCCAAGATTCGAATGCACGTTGCAAATACGAGTCCGTATTTGCACCCAAACGTTCTATAAATGACGAGGGCGTGTCGTATTCGCCAGGCATCTTGTTGATTGAGTGGGTGTCCATCTCGTGATCACCTTCTGAAGTAACGCCTATAAGAAAATATGTGAAACTGTTGGATATAAAACTAATAATAAAAAAGGAGGGTTTATGAATATTACTAACACTAATTTTTTATGTCATAAATAGGTATTTCTAACGGTTATTAACAACAAGACAAGTTTCTTCTACATTACCATGCTAGTATAACGTACCAATTTAAAACCTTCTGTATTTATAAGAATAGGATAACACAAACATGTATACATGAAACTAATATTCGTTGCAAACATAGTAATAAAAAAACTGTAGATCTCTTAGTCAAGTCGTTTTCAATTCCTCCCCCTGTTTAAAAGAAATATTACTGAAATTACAAAACAATTTAATATTACACCTAAGACTAACGTTTCGCATTTATTGTACCATTCATACAATTCATAATACATTAAAGGCGAAACATATGCTTGGGTTGTAATGTTAAATTGTTTCTTTGTCCCGATTTGACTTGATAATGTCAAGTGGTGATAGTACATATTTTTATAATTTAATAGTCAAGTGGTGATAGTATGTATTTCTATAATTTAATAAACATTTGCTCGTGATTATTTTTTATATTAATAAACTATCGTTTTAAGGTTCTTTACGAGACAGACAGTACTTAATAGTATATGTAACAAAAAGTAAATGTTACAATAGAACTTAGAGATCGACGACAACGTGCAATAAAAAATATTAATTGTAAAGATAATGAGTGTACCAATCAATACGATTAATAATTATAGATACGTAGGTATATACAACAAAAAGAAATTGCAATATCTATATACACGATATCCTGCAAGTGGTGGATTACCTTTCAACTGTATATGTGGGGGGGTCTTACTCAAGGCTATGTAGATAATTGAATTTATGTTAATACTTTTCAAGTAATTTGGATTTTTAAAATTTTTGAAAAATTGACATTCTTAGTCCTCTTAGGTGCCATAGCAATAAATAAAGGATTTTTTTAAATTTTTTTTGCAAAGTATATCGATAAATATATAATTACTTTGTAGAAAGTATATTTGAATTAAAATGAAGTATCTGCCTGTAATATTGAAGTAATGGCCTGTATTTTATGCTCATTTGGCTCTTTGTATACTTTTAATATTAAGTCACAAAAGACCCTGTCTGTCTGTAGATCGAAACAGTTGAGCCGATATTGTACACAAGTCGAAATATTTTTGCGATGTCTAGTTTCAACCTAAATTATTAAAAAATTAATCTCATAAAAGGTCTGTAAATTTACGTGATAGCTACTTCAATGGGTACTAAATAATAAAAATAAATTCAAAAAAATCCAAAACCAAAACTCAAAGGTGTATGATTTGACGTGGAATACTTCACATATTTATATTTGTCGAAAATTAAAAACTGTTTTAATATCAAGAGGCAGTCATTTTACCTTTTCAAACAAAACCCAAACACCAGTTTGTTAGTAATTCTGGTACATCCACCGTTATTAAAAAAAGTAGTATTAGTAGGACTATGAAGTAACCAGTCTTCGACAAATTTGCAAAAGGTAATGTTACTGCCTTTAATTATAATAACCTTGCTCTATTAGAAATACATTTATTAAAAATAAATGTGCATCAAGTAAAACCTTTTGTTCGCTAATCAGTGTTACAATTGCAAATTTGTCAAGCACTGTATTTATTAGTTAGTAGAAAGCAACGGGCATGAACACGTACTCGACCGTTTGGATTGCAAGGGACTCTCTTCGCTGTCTGGAAGGGCGGTTCGGGAAGAGTGCCTGTTATCCGGCGCCAATCGACGCCCAATGTCTTCTGCGCGCCCATGCATGAGCCCCGCTGAAACCCCAACACCAGACACNAAATTATGTATTAGGCTCCAAAATTTTTTTTCATGAGACAAAAATATCTCGTAACTCAACAAATAAAACATAACAAAAACGTAGTTACTATATACCTACTGATATTTTTGCTAAGTGTAGAATTCGAAGAGCACGTGTTGCTTCTTAAAATATTTACTTATCATCAGTCTTAAAATTAATTGTAAAAGTTCAGTGACTGGTTTCATAATTGATAACGAAACCATTCATTTCGTGTCTTGATAATTGTTATCACCACAAAGAATTTAAGTCCAGTTAGTATACCTTCACTTAACAACGTCTTGTTTGTTTTATATTAAGTAGTTATTAATAATTACATAGGTACTACTTTTTATATCAATCCTTAAGTTTGGAAAATATCTAATTTGCTATCTTTATTGAACGATCATTTTAACAAATCATGAAATGTTATTAAAATAAAATAAAAACGGTTATGAAGTGATATTTTTATGCGTAAGTAGTGAGGTGATCGTGTGGCACACATATCTAAGAGATTGCAGGGAAATACAGGCTATTGAACTTACAAAACAAAATTTTTTAAGACACTTACCCATCGACGTTTTCGAACAGAGGAAAAGACAACTTAGGAATAGAAATGAACCTACAACGAAAATAATTGACAAAATGACGGCATAACCGTCCAATCCAAAAATTAAGAAAGGTTGTTCAGTAGCAGGTTGAGGCACTGCAGAGCAGCTCTGCTCGCAATCAACACAACTGCAAGCAGGAGCGTCTTTCTAAAATAAAAAAAAAGATGAAATTACTTATCTTATAAAATCCTTGATTTTTAAGCACCTACAAAAAAAATGTTATTGTTGTATTCTTTTTTTATGAATTTTTGCAAAAACTAATATTTATTTATTTATTTAATACTTGTTGAAAATATACTGGATGTTGGAATAACTCTCCAGATAATAGACAATCATCCTACCCCCCCCCCTTCCCAGTCATAACAACTAACTACTCGGATCGAACTTGATCTACAGGGTCTATTCGTACAAAGTCGTACTCTAAAGATACACGTTTAACAATCTTTTTTATTTTATTAAACTAACCATCCGCGAGCACAGAAATAATTCCAAGTTATTGTGATTTATATGTATTTCAACATAGAAAATTAAATTAAAAGCATCTGAGGAATTCTTAACAAAAATAACGAAACATTCTATAAAAAAAATTACATATTATGTACTAGTAATATTTTCGTCATTGCCCACCATCCCAAAATATTATATATAAAAGAAATTATGAATGCTGTCAGCACAGGGCAAAGTAGTATTACGTAGTTAGTATCAGCAATTTCTTATGCTGAAGTGTATGATGTGTTGCATACCTATTTACAAACAATTTAATTTAATTTTTCAAACAATTTTTAACACAAAGTAAATGATTAAACAAATTGTTCACAAAAGTGAATTTAGACCACTCGAAGCAATGGTACTAACAGTTTCGAGTTCACAGTGACTGATAGGGGGGAAGAACTAGTTGAATACAAATTATGTTATTTACAACGGACAATAATTTTTCATTTCTGAAGATTGAATAGGCTGTTTTTTTATAACAGTCAACATTATTCCTTCGCTATATATAGTCCCTTCTAACTGACACATAATGTTAAATGGTATAATTTACATCTTAGTTACTCAAACTGTTAATAAAACTACAACGTTTACCTTTAGTAGGCGGTTAATGAAACTAATTAAAAAGAAAGAAACAAAACTTAAAGCTCGCTAATTACAGAGCAGTGGGTAAATTTATTTTCAAATGTACACTAACTATTAAAATGTTTTCTTTGTTTTTTCTTAAAAACATTTTTTTTTAAATCTACGAAATTTAATAAAAAACAATTTATAGATTTGAGTTAAGAATGATAGAAAATAAACAAGACGATGGGGTGCCAATGCATATACATTGTACGTATCACTTCCCTATTCATTTTCTGGCGTGTAAAACATTTTAACGTTTATTGCACATGCTAATAAAATTATACCACTTAAATATAAAAAAAATGACTTTACTGCACAACACGTCTGCACCAACCAAAGGAAAAAGGGGCAAATAAATTCAGATTGAATTCACTCAATTTTAAATTTATTTGCTTACGAAAAAAGAGGCCAACAACCATAACACCAAAAAATTCACTAATGAATATACGATGAGAAGTGAATGATCTTCGATTGAAAAAAAAAGGGTAAGACAGATAACAGATTTCTACGAGTTCATTCTTCTTAACATCCGTTTTAAGAAACAGAAAGGAATTTCAATTCAGTACACAAATTTTGTGCAGAAATTATTTAAAAACCAATTATTATTTTTTTATTAATATAACATATACCTTTACGATCTCGAGAACTATAAAATTCGCCAACATTTTCAATACTGCTTCTCAGATCGTATCCTGAAAATGTCAATAATTGAATAAATTTTTTTAGAATTTAATTCACAAGCATCTGTTGAAATTTACAGTTTATTACTAATTTTTAGTGGATTCTTAACTAGAGGAATCCATTTATATACTTTTTATAAACAAAAAAAAAAAATAGTGCGTTTTATTTTTTTGTTCTCAATATATATCAAGGATTACCATTCCCTCTTTAATTTTGGAAACATACTATACGA